GACCAGCTTGTACCCGTCACCGACGTCTGGGGCTTCCCTGCCACTTCAGTATCTGCGGACCAACATCTACACGATTCTCTCCGAGGCTGAACGCGAGAGATTGGGTACAGGGAAGGTGAGGAAGTACCCTCAAAGAATAACACACCGACACACTATCTTTCTATTGTTGGTGTTGGCACAAAGCTTCTAATACATCAGAGAAGATTTACGCTTGAAAGCTGCTTTCTATGTAAGGGAGAATATAGAAGTGGCCACACACAGCATGCGATCCCGGATGTTCTTTCTTTTTTTTTCTTTTTTTTTAGTTTACCTTGTGAAGGATTTAAGAGCCATCAAAGGATGGCCTCACTTTGTGCTTTGCTGCCTTGTATTATAAAAGAAGGTGAAGACGACTTCCAAACCTGATAAAGGACATCACTGACGTTTATAACAGTCATTTGATAAATCTGAAGGATGGAATAGGAACTGTGCTATTAAGCGCAGATAATCCTACAGTTGCGCACTTTAGGGAAGAGACTGGATCACACAAGCGATTTGGGAAGTCATGCGAGGGGGGTACTGTGGAAGACAACGAGGCTTTGTGAAGTATAGTCATGATAAATCGACGTAACGCATTTATAGGCCTACCTTCCATACATCCGTTCCGTTGAATGGATGACATAAGATTTAGTGTTGGCGATGCTGATTTTTTTCGTAGTTGATTTTTTTTCCTAGTTATATCGCCGATACGACGACAAAGTCGCCCAGGAATTGTGCATAATAAGAAACTCCATGATACCGTAAATTGGAACAATATCGTTGAACAAATACCGAGCCTGAAAAAGTGTTCTGTTTCTTGCGTAGCCTGATAATAATGTCTGCAGATAATTCGAATTTTCCTCGAAAAAACAGTCACCATTTTATTTTAAGTTACAGGGGCCCAACATACTGTACATGCCGCGCCGCGGAACTCGGAATTGGGATTTGTACATAGGCCAATCACGGTGCTACGCAGCCTTTTCATATTTACAATTACATGTTGTACAATCTAAGCATTTGTGGTCATAAACGGCTGGGATGGAGTCTACTGTAGTCTGGGCACATGCTTTCTGCTCGTTCCCAGGAAAAACGCTGGTTCCAGGCGGCTTTTTTATGTAAAGCTGGACCTATGGCGTAAAGCAATGACACCAGCGAAGTTGCTCTTAACGGCTCCACGCCACGCGTACGCGCCGCGCGGTGTTTTTGTTGGCGAGGCCACTTTGTGTGGCGTTTCGATACCCCCAAATGTCTGTTGAAGTTACGACAGTTTCAGCCACAGATTTTAACACCTTACGTACGTATTGCAGCAATATAGTTTTCTCAGCTGGCGGAAATCAGTGAAGTTTGGGGGAACTCGGGTTAAGAAGAAGGGGGAAATTGCTGATATAAAAACGATTGTCGATATGATTTCTCAGTCACCGTCATTACCGATTCCATTTTTAAAAGACAGTATTGTATCACTACCTCGACTACAAAAACACTTTTCCTGCCCATTCCTTGTACATATGAACAAAATGAAAAACTGAAGTAGAACCTTTTAAGGGATGAGTTGGGATCATGTAGGGGTTGCGTCGTACAAAAACGGTACAGGACGATCTCCTTAGAACCTGCATCAAAAATCCTACATTATGCTGTCGTGCACACACGTAATGACATAGGAGCGGACTGGTTGTTGAATGGAGTATTGTGGCTACAAGTTATCTCATATCACCTGTGGTTCACACTTTTTCATACAAGGGCTTGACCCGGTCATGTGGATCTTGCATGTGGCGCCGTTCGTACAGCTAATAAACCAGCTTCGGCTCCATGTCCTTGATCAGGCTAGTCTATTACATGGAGCTATGGTCAAGGAACGCCCATTTTGATTTGGTAGCTGCTTGGTTGTTAACGCTCACGGGTACGAAAATGCCCTTTTGTTTAGTCCCCAAAAGTTTCCACACCATGGAAAGTGGGCAGGACTGACTAGTTTAAGGGGCATTTGACAGTATAAATTCTCTCTGTCGGATCGACCACTACAGAAGCCCAGTCGTGCCATCAAATACACATTTTAAAAAGTGAGGTATATTTTTTTCAAAGTCCTTTTGTATGATACTTGTATTTACTTTTCCAACTTTGTTTTTCTGTATCTAGAGAAACCGTTTCTGTTTTTGGAAACCAATCATTTTCGGTATTTATTTTTTCCAAGCTAGTTTTCATGAGATGTAAAATCAAACTTAAAAATATGTCTCTTAAAAATTCATTAGAAAAAAAAAATCTATCTCATAAAAACAAACTTAAAAAGTAAATATCTTGTAAAAAAGATGTTTCAAAAAAATAGAAACAGCTTTTCTAAAAATAGATCTCATAAGCACGAACTGGGGAATATATTTCTCGTACAAAGTTAGGAAAAAAATACTCATGTTTTTCATTTTTGAAAATATATACGCGTCGGCACCCCAGGGCTTTCATAGGCTACATGTGCTTTCAGAATGTGTTTATTCCCTGCATCTTGCACCAAGTTTGGCAATTAGCTGGCAGCACTGTTGCTGTACATGTGTGTGGAAAGGACTCTTCAGTCATTTATGCCAAAAAAGATTGACAGAACCAGAACTTTTGTCCCAGTTGGGATTATCATTTGACACTTAAAGGGGCCTTTCAATATGTACTTTTGGGGGGCCATGCGTACATGTTGTGTTCATGTGTTTCAGTTTCACAGACACAAAAATCAACTCCATTAATTAACATAACACGTGTGCGTTGCATTCAGCGGTCAAAATCACCGAGAGTGATTTTGACAGATGCGCAATGCTTGGCAGGTCGACACGCATATAGAAAGGTGCCTTAAGTTTGCAAACACAAGTGGCAATCATGATGATGACTTCGTTTCCTTCTCGGCAAACTTGATACAGCTCATGATAAAGAGTGCATAAGATGTTACCGTTGCTTCCTTCTCTGCCTTTCAGACGGTACAAAAAGTTAAGTTTTCTGTTCTTTTTTTGTCTCCTGTACCGTTCCACCCCTACCCTGTTTCTGTTTAGGTGGTGACAGCTGGCGGAGCGCCAATCGTCCAAGCTGACTTGCCGGCCAGCAATGGCATTGTTCACATCATCGACAAGGTGATGTTTCCCCTGCCTACTGGAGCCGACATGACGGAGTTTGTCAATGACGATGGGCGATTCAGCAGTCTGTTCGGCTTCCTACAGGTTTGGAAGTTTTTATTAGCCATCATTTTTCACTTAGATACAACAATTTGCTCAGTCACAAGTATTAGTTATTAGGTGGAATAGGCATGGACCAAAATTAATTGGACTCGCTATCATCCTTTGGCATGCATGTTGTCCTACTAGTAAACTTTTCTGTGGGGTAAGAGATAAAGGGAGAGAACATTCATTAACAAAAGGTGGACTCTGTAAAAGTACAGGTGAATTCTTGTGTCATCGGTGAAAAAAGTGGCTACCCAAATCACATGACAGAAGAACAACTGCTGATTTTGAAACTGTTCTTTCCAATTCCCAGACAGCCAATCTCACCAAGGCCTTGGAGACGGACCCTTCCCGGCCGCTGACCCTTTTTGCCCCTAACAACCAGGCCTTCAAGAACCTCCCCAAGAGCGTTGTCCAGAAGTTGGCCAACGTCACCTTCCTCCAGCAGGTCCTCGAGTACCACGTGGTTCCAGGTGCCTACTACGCCGCGGGTCTGTGGGACAACCAAATCTTGCACCCGCTCTACAACAAGCCCCTGCTGGTGGAGCGTGGACAAGGGGGAATCTACTTGCAGAACAGTAAGGTCCTGCAGGCTGACAACACGGTGTCCAATGGCGTGGTGCATGAGATATCCGCCGTCCTAATCCCCCCAAAGTAGAGGGGTCGGGATGCAAAGTTAGCAATGTGGTCTGGTAACTCCACGTGTACATTACACATATCATTTCAAGCATGTCTCGAACAGCAGGCTATTGCTAGTACTCAGATTTATGTGGAATTTTCACCCTTTTCTGCTCAAAGGATTCAGAGTTTTTCATGAATTCTAGACCCAAACAGCATTTACCCAGACTTCCAAAATTCTTACAAAGATCCCTCACACTGATCATAAAACAGACTCAAGGCTTTCATCAAATGTCCAGCTTTGAGTCTACCATAACAAACATCAGAATCACTTGAATTAACAGATATGAAAAACTCTCAGAATACTTCCAATTGCACAATATAACAATCCCAAATCATCTCAGATGTTTAATAGTTTGCCAGTAGACTTCCACAGTGCTTTCGTTGCAATTTCTTTGATAAGAATTAATAGAAATTCCTAACCATACCAATGAGCTTACTTAAGTGAAATAAATACAGTAATCTTTCATGTATGAAAAACTGCCCATCTTTTCACACAAGAGCTTCTTTCTTCCATCGCGTTGTACACCAGTATTTACAGACACTATGGCAAGACTTTCTAGTGTAAATACTGCTGTTTCACAATAGGGCGCCACCAAGAGTTTGCAAAGCGTTGGCCAATCACATTTGTCGACCCTTTCTAAACGTGCATTGGGTCGATAAATGTCACGCATTGTGATTGGTCAATGCGTTGCAAGCTCTTGGTGGCGCACTATTGTGAAACGGCCGTATTTGAGTACATCAGCCATTTCATAATATTTTGAGTAGAATTTATGGCGAGCGCTAAACCTAAAATACATAGAAAGACGTGTATTTGCAGTTCATTACCCAAAAAAATTTAGAAGAAAAAGCAAGTAAATTATTAATTTGATTATAAACCGCAGAGACAAAGTGATTGATGTTTCAAATATCAAAAAGGAGGCTGGCTTTTTAAGAGCTCTTTTTCCTAAACAGTACTATTAAGCAGTTCACATAATTGTGTTTGCATAATTGTCTAGATAACCTTGTTATAAAAGTCTAATGTTTAATGTTGTTAGGGGTTTGATTTCATGCACAGCATATTTTTGTTGCCTGTTTCAAAAGGATCAGTCTAACTGCGTGATTGTGAGTTTGTGTCCGCTTTCGAGAAACAACACTTTGGCTCTGTGCCAGTTGATTGTTTTGTTTCTATGAATGAAAATGTATCACGAAACTGTCCGTGTTATCCATAACAGATACAGAACAGCAGCCTAAAATCATTATTCAATGGTTTCTTGTGATTATGTATTTTTTTTCCTGAAATGAAGAAGATGATTGAAATTTTTAAAAATCAAAGACAAATGCCTCCTTTGGGTGATATGTCAATATGATGTAGAATAAAGTCTCTGCAGCTACGACGTCCTGATTTTTTTTCTGATTATTTTTATGCAAATCTCTGTCTCTGTCCTATGCACAAATGCACACTGAAATCCTTAACATCATTCTAATATCCTGAGGGGTCAATGTGTGTGCGCCTCCATTACCAGAGGGCAGGAGATGAACTCGCAGTGAAGAAGCTGTCAAGTACTACAGTGACCGGGTATAATCCTGACATTCTGGAAACTGGGTCCCTGACGTCAGGCGAGGTCGTTGCTACCATGCGGTGAGGTTCAGGTTGAGGGTTGACGAGGGACTTCTGCTTGAGGTGGCATCGCTGTCGTTGTTCTGGCCGGCATCTACAAATGGGGATTGAGGGCTGTTGATGACCTGCAAGATCTCCAAGACGTCCTCATGTCTGTCTTTGACATCTTGAGGCTGCACAGAAATAACAAAACACAAAAACAAATGTACTGTTTGATCTTTTTTCCCTCTGCAGGACCATTTAAATTAAAGCGAAGGACCATCCGGACTAAAGTGAAAGATTGCTAACTTTCTAACTCACGGAATTTCTCTGCAAATTCCACAACAACTCTTTTGGCTGGACTACCTATATAAACAAACTACCTGTCAACACTAACACTACTTCACACTCACTAGCTCCACATCTCTTCCCAATATGCTTCTAATTCTGACTAGGTCCTCTGAAATGGCCATTTCTTATCTTCCCGCTGTATTCAAAAACAAAACAGTAGATGGTCAACCACAAAAAGCTCAACTCACCAACTTGTTGGTAGTGAATTTTATAGGGAGCCAGAGGAGATGATGAAGAGTAGGTGAGCACGATGTCTAGTCTCGGCTACGAGTCGTTCTGCAGTGTTTTGTATCCCTGAATGACGTTAGTAAATAAAAGAAGTAAACCAAATATTGGAGTTGTCTCTTAATTAATTTGAAGGGCATCAGTGACTTTTAAATGACATTAAAAAAGGAAGTAAACCAAAAATTAGAGTTGTCTCTTAATTATTTTAAAGGGCATCAGTGACTTTTAAATGACATTAAAAAAGGAAGTAAATCAAATATCAGAGTTGTCTCTTAATTACTTTA